TCACAACCCCAGCCCTTTTTGCTTTAGTTATTTTTTTTAATAGGATCTCAGCTTTATGCCAGGCAAACCTAGACCACAGTCTTCTAATTCATGCTTTGCAGATAGCCAGGATGACAGTGTGCACGAACTGAGATGGTGTCTCACTGACTTTTTGCCTTGAACCCTTCCCATCTCTGCCTCCCAAGGAGCTAGGGTTACAGGCACTGGACTATGTCTCTACTTAAAAAGCCTGATGAATATGTAAAACATTAATAGACAAGGAGTCTGAAGACCAAAAAACCTCCATCCCACTAGTATCTACATAATTCTGAGCCTCAACTTTTTCATTTCTAGAATAAAAGAAAAGTCTTTTGCTGCATTTTCCCTCAGGTTTGGTACATTTATAAAACCCTAAAGTATACACAGGCAGCAGTTAAGGATAAAGAAAAACAGTATGGTCTCTTGGCTCACGAAGTCCTCACTTCAAAACCCCAATTCCACTCTGACTGGCACTGTGCTCCTAAACAAGTTACTTAGCCTCACAAAGCCTATTTCCTCATCTACAAAACTGAATACAATGCCGTTAAATAAAATAACATATTTCAGAGAACCTGATCTGAGATATTCTGAATACTGTTACCCTGTTAACTAAGCATTTTTTTTTTTTTTGAGAAGAAAGCAGGACAGTTTATTGAGCTAGAAAAGCACAAAGTGGAAGTAGAGTCCCCAGAGTTGGGGCGGGGGGGAGTCCCAAGACAGAGTGCCCCCATATTTTTCAAAATGTATTTTTTTAATTGCCATAAAAACTATAGATACTCCTTGACTTACAAAGGAGTCAGATCCTGATAAACTCATCATGAACTGAAAATAAAGTCAAGTCAAAAATATATTTAACAATCAGGTACTGCTGTCTCACACATGTAAATCCTAGCTACTTGGGAGGGTGAGATCAGGAGGATCATGGTTCAAGGCTCAAGGCCAGCCCAGGCAAATGTTTACAAAACCCCAATTTCAAAATATCCAGAGCAAAACTGAATGGAAGTGTGCTCAAGTGGTAGAGCACCTTCTTTGCAAGCATAAAGCCCCAAGTTCAAAGACCAGTCCCACCCCCCCCACCTCCAAAAAAGAAATGCATTTAAGGGCTGAAGGATGTAGCTCAATGGTTTAGTGCTTGTCTAGCATAGGGGCCTGGGTTTGAGCCCCAATCCACAAAAAGGAAAACACACACACACACACACACTTAATACATCTAACCACCTAGCCACCAAACATCCTAACTTAGCAACACAGCACAGCGTGGGGTGCTGGTGCACATCTCACGACCTGGGCTGACCCAGTTGCTGTCCAACATCATAAGAGGTGCTGGACTGCACATCACAAGCCCAGGAAAAGAACAAAATTCAGAAGTCTACTGAGTACTTAAGTGTTTCTGCACCATCATAAAGTCAAAACATGATAAGTGGAATCATGGACTACCTGAATGTAATCAAATCATAGGACTATCTGAATGCAATCAAAACTCTTCTGAGAAGGTAGTTACAGATGTCATTTCTCTCCTGGGAAGAGTATAGAGGTTCATTCAATCCCTGTCCACTTAACAGGTCACTGGTTAGCCTCTAACGGGGTTACTGGTTACTGAGTCATTTACTTCACAGGTCAAGTATAACTACAATAAAACTTGTAATGAAGATTTCTTAAACTGACAAAACTCTACAGCCTGATGTTTTTAATGATTAAGCTTCGCCTGCACATTGCATGTAGCACACTACTCTAAGTAAGATTCTATTCTTTTTATTTCACTTCATTTTTTCATTTTGCTACTGTTTTTTTTTTTGGCTTCAAAGTATATTTTCTTTCTTTATTTTTGCTCATTTTGCTAAAAATATTATTAAGTCTTCTATAAAATAAGTATGTCAAAGGCAGAAAAGAGTCATTTCATGAAGTTTTCAGTTCAGATAATGAAAACTGACTTAACCACCTCACCTAATCAGAGGTCACTGGCTCAGCAACCTTCACAATCCTGAGCCTAAAACTAAAAGCCATGAACTCAGAGCCTATGCATTTACTTTCTAGATGCCCTTCAGCCTCACTAAGAATCTTTTTTCATATTATTACTCATCCATCTCTTTGGGATATCAGTCGATTTACTTTTAGTGAAGTACAAACTGAATTTCAAAATTTTGTGACTCTTTGATTAGTTCCTGATTTAAAGAAATCAGCCAAACAGGTTATGGACTGGGTTTTAGATAATATTAGGGAATTACTGTCAATTTTATTTGGTTAACCAAATATTACAGTTATACAGTAATAGCCTTACTATTTTTAGAGATACATACTGAAGTAAGTATCTGGAGATAAATGCCACCATGTCTATGATTACTTTAAAACATTTCAGAAAACAATGAAGTAACTATGTGTAAAACATAACTGTTCAATCACAGTTTTGAGAATGAGTGTTTATAATACTATTTTATTTCCTCGGCTTTCCTGTACACAAATTCTCAAAATTTAAAAAAAAAGTTAATGTTTTCTTAATTCCCTAAGAAAAGACTGCCAGCCTGATTTACTAAACCACAGCACAGGTCAGAAGCAGCAAGTGGAAAAGGGCAGAAGGGTCGTCGCAACGAGGCATGTTATGAGTGATAACGAAGGCAAAGTGATGGATAGTCTAACAGGAAGACAACAGACATCAAGACTACTATACATAAAATGCAAACAGGAAGTCAATGGTGGAGCACTTTAGATAGTAGCTATCCAAGGCTATCTCTGGAAGCATCTCAGCATAACCAAGCAGTAATAATTGACAAAGACTCAGGGAGAGTCTCTTCTTGCTTTATTACTGACTACCTAACCACACCATTTTATCTTACACAAAAATGTTACTAAAAGTTGGGAAAAAATTACATTAATATCAGAGCTTGACAGCTACATGCATCTTACCCAGTATTCCCAATGTTTACATCAAATGACCAATTTTGTATACAAGATTTTGTATGAATTAAAAAATGACCATGTTCCAAGTTCCTACTTATCACATGAAAGAAACAAGGAATGAACAGAACGTAATTAAGGAACTCCTTCCTTATTGCGAACTAAGCCACTTTTCACTTTCACACTCAGCATTGTAATGAACACCATTCTGATTTTCTCCTTCTGGATTATTTGGGATGGTATCCCAGAAAGGAGACTAGTGGGTCAAAGCGTACAACGTCCTACCCAGCTGCATGCCGTGGCACACTCCACTGACACCACAGCACACACTCATGTCAAGACAACTTCATCTTTTGCTGATAGATCTGTTTTAATACAGTACCTAATTTTAAAATGCTGAGTAAAACAAAAGAAATATGCCACATTTTTCCATATGTCCCTTCACCTACAGCATTTAATTTTCTGTGACTTTTCACCAGTGTTTTAACCTGAGACTTTTGTTTCCTATCTCCAGAATGAGAAGACTGTATCAACTTCACTAGTATTCAGAGAAGTGAAAATTAAAGAAAGAGAGACTATTTCTCACACGAGATCAGCAAAATTTCAAGCGTGACAGGTTTCAAAGTTAGTAAATGGGCACTTGCATATGAGGTATATACATTTGAAACAAATTTGGCAATGTCTATAAAAATCCTTATTGTACATACTAAACCCAGGACTCCAACTTTTAAGATTATCCTACAGAAACAAAGGCAACAATAAGCAAGAATATATGTTTATTGCAAGATGATTTATAATGACAAGCTAAAAAGCTAGAACCAGCAGGAAACTCATCAGTGCGGGAAACGAGCTGAGTCAATGACAGCACACACAGGCTGGCAAACATGAAGCAAGCGTCAGAGCTAGCATCTGAACTTAGAAACATAGTCATGATATATTGCTACATAAGCAAGTGAGCAACTTTGAGTTAACATTAAAATTGTTTCAATTTTTAAAGGAAAAACCTAATTTATGTACTATAAGCATCTGTGTTCATCACTATAGAGAAAAGTCCAGACAATAAAGCAAACTAACAACAAGATCTCTTCACATAGGGAAAAAAAGAGAAATCACCCCCTTCTACAAATTCATCTAGGTTATCTGACTTATTGTTATTTGCTGATTGTTACTTTTTTTAGATGTCCAAAGATGAGGTATTTTTAAGGAAGATTTTACTGGGTTTTTCTAATTCTAATTTAATTACCAAACCACAACAATTCTATGAAACAAGGCTCACAAAGAGGTCACTGATCTTTAATGAATGGCTACAATATGCTTAATACACCAGAGGAAAAGGTAATATTATTTGGTAAAGTATAAAACAAAAATATTAAATACTTCCTTAAGTACTAACACAAAGGAGTAAAGAGGGAAAAAATTAACTTACCTTAAATACCTCAGGCCCAAGCCCCCAATTCTGGATAAATGAAACATTCTATTATCCAAGTCACTGAGCTATGCGAAACACTCCAACGAGAGTGTGTGAGAATGCTCACTGAACTCCTCACCTGCTGGCAAGTGAAATGGCAGCGATCACCAAGAAAAAGGCTTCTATAAAGTACTCAACCCAAATCATATTAGCACAATTTCCTGCCCAAAAGAAAACAAGAAAAAAGAACTAAAGAGCATTCTAGGCAGGCTCTTCAAAGGAAAATCTGAGTAACTACAAAACATGTCAGGAGGGACAGGCCTTGTTTTCAATGTATCCAAGCTTAACATTTCATCAATGTATGCTACATTTCTTAAAAATGGTCTCCTATTGGCTGGAACTACTCAAACTTTAAAAGGACACACTGTCAATATTCCTTGGGAGGAAGGTTACAGGAACTTCAACATTCATGAACAGAAGCAATGTTCATCTGTACACCGGGTGCACACCTGTCATAGCAGGAAAGACACCAACCAAATCAGTCACTAGGTACCACAGTAAGATGGAAATTGTTTTAAATCTGTAACTTCTGAAATTAGAAAATGAAAAAAAAAGTGAAACCTTAAAATATTGTTCAATAATTTAAAATCTTCAAATCTGAAAAGTGCCATTTTAAACGTACCATGTCTACAATCTTCATCAGCTTGCCCATAGTTTTTCTGTAAGACAAAAAACACAAGATCAAATTAAGTAGTTCAAGGGCTGCTTTTAACAGAGACGTTACCAGAGAAGCTCCACTTTGTTTCAAAAATATTCACAGAGCTGTGGGCACTGATGGCTCATGCCTGTAATCCTAGCTACTCAGAAAGCAAAGATCAGGAGGATTGTGGTTCAAAGCAAGCCAGGAAAATAGGTAGCAGAATCCTATCTCAAAAAAAAAAAAAAAAAAAAAAAAACCATCACAAAAAAGGGCTGGTGGAATGGCTCAAAGTGTTGGCCCTGAGTTCAAACCCCAGTATTGCAAAAAAAAAAAAATTTCACAGAGCAGAGCCAACTCCTGTGCTCTGTGAAGATTACACAGCACAATACAAACATACACCACAATGCGTTCCTCTAATACACTGACTCCCATCAGGACTTCTCACCTTTTCTCACCTCAACTAACAACAACCTCCTCCTCTACACTCCTCCTCAGCCAATGGCTTAACTCAGAAAACTGGAACCATAAGAAGAGAATGTCCACAGACTGTCCCTACCATGTCTACCTTCCTCCCAACATCCTCTATCCCTTCCACCTTCTCCCAGGCAAACTATTCCTGCTCCCTTCTAAAGTTAATCCCACTGCTGTGCAGACCTGCTCCTCTGCCTTCTTCAGAACACCACCCCACTATGTCTCCTTTGCTTCTCCCACATCCCTGAGTGTTTGTTCTTCACTGGATCATCTATAAATAATTTATTTATCCCAACTAAAAAAATTCTTCTCTTGACTTCACTTCTCCTACTATGTACTTTTTGTCCAACTCCTTTTTTTCTCTTGGAATCCTCATGACAGAACGCCTCAAGAGTTACCTATATTAATTTATTTCCATATATATTTCCCCTGATCCTCTTTTCAGTCTGCTTTAATCAGCCACATACTGCTCCAAGGAACCACTCTGACCTCCACTGAATCTGGTCAGATCCAGTTATATTCACATATACCTAGAGACACACTGCCACATCTCTAGTGGCAGCCACTGACAAGTGGCAAACATTAGCTCACTCTGGCATACAGACTTTCTTCACATGCCTCCCAGGACACTGGCTCTCACACTTTTCCCTGTCCTCGCGGCTGTTCTGCAGGTTTCTCCTCTTCTCCCCAACCTCTCTGACACAGTGGCATGAGATTAAAACCTGGTCTTCTCTTCTCCCTTGGTGACTTCCCCAAGACTCTAAACTCTAGCATCACAGAGACTCAATCTTTCTCCCCAAACTCCATACCTACACGTGCGACTACTCACTCAGCACCTCCAGCTGGGAAGCTCAAACTGCACAGGTCCAAAACTGAGCTCACAAACCTGCTCCCTATGTACAGTCTTTTCACCCCAGTTGAAGGAAACTCCATTCTTCTAACTACTCAGACAAAAAACTGTCAGAAAGGTGACTGTGACAGCTCCTGCTCATTCCCTGCATCCACTACATCAGGAAATCTTACTGTTTCTACCTTTGTCTTATAAACCAGAACTAGCCACTTCTCGCTAGCTCCACTGCTACCATTTAGGGCTGAGTCACTCTTGCTGTCTCCAAACTAGTCTCCTTGCATCTACTCATTCCTTCCTAGTCTATTTGCAACCCAAGTCCAACGGCTCCTAATTAACATCGTGCCACCTCTCTGCTCAAAGTGCTGTAACAGCTCTCCACCTTGCATGGAATAATAACCAAAATCTTAGGCTGGCTTAGCGTTCTTCACACACTCTACTCCAGTGCCTCCTACCTGTTCCTCAGACACAGGAGGCATGCTACCGCCTCAGAGCTTCTGCGGTAACGCCCCCTTTGCCTTTGACTTACGTACGGTTCACACCCTTCTTAACCACCTTCTCAGGGAGTCTCAGTGAGGCCTGACTTGACCACCCTAAGTAAAATCACAACCCCTTTGTCAGCCCCAGTATTTCCAGTCTCCCATGCTCTGTTCTCCTTTTCTCATGCTGTTATCTAAACTGTGTACTTAATTATAATGGCTATTATTTCTTTTCTATCATCTACTAGGAAAAATAACCAGGAAGAAGGGACCTTTTTCTTTGTTTTTCATCAATACATAAGTTCCTAGAACAGTTGACTAGTACATACTATGCACTCAATAAATATTTGTTGAATGAGTATGTAATCTAAAATGTACCATAGTACAATCTTCAAAGTTTTAAACACACAATAGTTTGCCACCATAGCCAGCAATCGATCCTACCTATCTCTTTAGGCCAAACTTACCTGACTTTGTATGGAGGGTGACTAGCAGTAGTCCTCCCTCAATGAAAAGGCCATTACATGATTACACATTGGCACTCTGAGAGTGTGTACTCACCAGCTGCAAAAATGAGGCGATTCTGTAAAGAAGACTCTCGATTTTGATGCGTTCCAGCTCCAATGGGCACGGCCCTGTGATCTCTGCCATGGGGCACTGGCCGAGAGAAAGAAGGGCTTCTGTGCAGTGCTTGAGAGCCATGTCATAGTCCTGCCTCTTCAGTGACTCGCACGCTTGTTCACATGACTTTTCAGCTCTTCTGTCTTCCATGACTCAGGAATAAAACTCCTGAAGTCAGGGAAAAGACCAATTAAAACGATTTTAAAGACTTGCTAACTATAAACTCTAGACCCATTTCTACTCTACCAACTTAATTACCTATCTGAAGATTCTTTCATCTGGCCTCCAGATTAAGGTCATAGCTTAGCAGCAGCTATTGCTAATGTAAAAGCCAAAGTTCTCCTTTACATTTTATGAAATCTTTACTAAGATCCAAGCCGGATTGATTCTATCAATATATCAAATTTATAAATGAGGCAAATTTATAAATGAAACGTGACTGAATATTAAAAAGTACAACAAGCCATAGAGGATTTCCTTGTTTTAGACCAAAGGAGCAGATATGTTTCCCATCCAAACCTTCCAATTTCAGTTTCCAGATGTCAGTCTCACAATTCTGATAACTGTGATTGCAGAAAATCAAACTCTATACCATAGAGATTTTTTCCTCCTATGAAAAACTGGTTGAGGGCTAGCAGAGTGGCTCAAGTGGTAGAGCACTTGCCTAGCAACCATGAGGCCCTGAGTTCAAATCCCAATACCACCAAAAAAAAAAAAAAAAACCTGGCTAAAATCTAAGTGTGACCTATCCATTAATAAATTTCAACAAGTATTCCCTGAGGGCCAGGCCCAGTGCTAACAGCCTCAGACACAAACAGCATAAGCCCACTGCTTTCAAGGAACTCATATTCTAGCATGAGAGGTAAAGAATGAATGAACAATGACAGTATAGGAATATTCCATTTGCCTAAAGGCATGAGAGGCCTCAGGAGGTAAGCAGGAGTTCGCCACTTAGATAACAGTGAGAACAAATGCAAGCTCTTAAGAGACTACAGTCCAAGTGAGATCACCAAAGGGAGAAAATCCTACGTTTAAACTCATGGTACAGGACAGAGATAGAAGGAGCTACAGTCAACTTCAAATGCCACAACACCAAGTTAACTAAGTTAACATGGGCAATAGAGCACGGCGGAAAGTTTTTAAATAAAGAGGTAATCTATTCAATAGCCATGATAAAAGACTGCTTAGAAGAGGAAGAAATGGCAGGCACTGACACTAATAACAGGCCATTAAAATAATCCAAGTAGGAGACAGAATGCAAGCCCACTTCACCTCGGCTCTATCACTCACAGGCAGGGGCAGAGAAGACAACAGTCTAACTAACAGTCACAAGACTACTTTTCAAAGGTCTGCTCTTGCTGATCCCCATCACTGTCTGTCAAGTTTGTACACTGGTTTTCTGGCTGCATCACCTTACTCTTCTGCCCTTGCCAACCTTCCACCTTCTCCACTCACCTCATGTTACCTATTATTCTACCAGCTGTCTCCAACCTACGGATATGCCTCCCCAGCCCTGACTCTTGATAATCTGGTCCTGCCCTCTCCTAGCCCTTCTGTAGCCATAAACTGCAATGAAGGATGAGGGGAGAGAGATGTTAGCTTGCAGCCAAGACACCAGAAGTGGTCTAGGCCCCTTCACCTTTTGAGATTGCTGGTAAATCAAAAAACACAGAAATGTTGAAGGAACACGACAAGAAAAAGTTCAAAAGGATTCAACACTATCTGGAGGCATTTATTAAACGTGTGGTATATGCAATGGCTATAATATAATATTCTCTACTTTCCTCAGTTTGAAACTGATAACTTAAAAAAAAAAAGGGGGGGTTAAAATTGTACTGTTGTTTCAAATGTTTACATTTAATAGCTAGGCGCCAGAGGCTCACTCCTGTAATCCTAGCTACTTGGGTGACTGAGATTGGGAGGATGGCAGTCTGAGGCCAGCCTGAGCAAATAGTTTGCAGAATCTCATCTCCAAAATAACCAGAGCAATATGGACTAGAGGTGGGGCTCAAGTGTTAGAGTGTCTGATTTGCAAGTGGAAAGCCCTGAGGTCAAACCCAGTCCTACAAAAAAAAAAAAAAAAAAAAAAGATAATGTAACAAACACTTAGACAACATATCCACAGCCTTTACATGGCCTCGTCTTTGAATTTCCTCAGCTTTCCCTCAGTGGGCTATGATTCCCAGTTTGGCTTGAGTTTAAATATTAAAGTTATGGTTGGTAATTATGTCCCTTATTCCAACATGTATTGATTTGAGTGAAATCAATTATCAAACAAAAATCAAAAATAACGATTTCTCTATCACTACAATGACTTTCCCTATTACACAAGAATGGTATTATAAGATAATTACTAAGGTATGATAGAGACCAGAATTGACACAGTGACATTTTGGGCTAGATACCTCTTTGTTTGAGGTCCTGTGTACTACAGTATGTTTTGCAGCATCCCTGGTGTCTATCCACCAGATGCCAGTAGCACGTCCCAACCAAAAATGTCTCCAGATGTTAACAAAAGTCTCCATGGAGAACAAAATGAGCTCTGGTTGAGAACTGGTGATATAGATAAGGACAGTGTTTGCTTATTAGGCAACAGAAATAGTAGATAGATATGTCCACAGATACCAACTAAAGGACCTAGAATTAGCAAATCTTCCCTACAAAATTCCCAGTCTGCACCTAGACAAAAAGTAGTAAGAAAAGCAAAATATTGCACAAGCTAAAATCTGTCCTTGGGAAAAAGGTAGCACGATGATGCAGAGTACAGGCTCAGAGCCAGAAAACGTGCCCTGAAAACTCCAGCCCTGTCACATCACTCACCAGCTGCGAAACCTGGGCAAATGACTTAACTTTTTGTATCTCAACTTAATCATCTCTAAAGCTGACAATAATCCCTTACCTCCTAGGGTTACTATATATGAAATGCTTATGAGAACACTGGGCACACAGTAAGTGCTCACTGTTAGTGGTGGGTTATTTCCCTAACCCTCCAAATTTCCAACTGAGGTAAAATGGAAATCATGCAACATATAATATATAAGAAAATAGCATGTAAGAAAATGGGCACTGGCGGCTCATACCTGTAATCCTAGCTACTCGCGAGGCAGAGATCAGGAGGATCGTGGTTCAAAGTCAGCCCAGTTTGTGAGACCCCATGTCAAAAAAAACCTATCACAAAAAAGGACTGGTGGAGTAGCTCAAGGTCAAGGCCAATTTCAAGTCCCAGTACCTCAAAAACCAAATAATAAAGTAAATTATCATTCTATGTAACTATTTCACATTCTTGACAGGAGAATGATTTTCACCTATTTTATCTGTCTCAATAAATAGGCAATGAATATGCAAGAACAGCCACTGGAAAAATAAGTACATTTGTATGCCACCAATAAAAGGTAGCTAAACCCTGTAACTGGCTAGCCAATCATCTCCTTGAGTTAAGCAAAAATCCTATGTGTCCTCAAGATTAATTAGCACCATTTTTTCCATAAAATAACATTTTATCATTTTAATACACCCTTTCACAAGTCAACTTTATGAGCACATTCTCGTCAATAATCCAATTTTTACCACTTTTATAGGATACTAGTTTTTAAATTAATTCATTTTAATACAATCCAACAAAGAACACAATTTGGCTGGGTGTAGTGGTATACACCTGTTAATCCCAGCTACAGAAGGTTGAGAAAGAAGACTTTGAGTTTGATACCAGCCTAGGCTACATAGTGAGAACCCCATCTCAAAAAAATAAATAAATAAAATAACATTTTTGCACTGAGACACACTACTAAAAGGGAAAACAAACTAAAGACTAGTAGAGGACTAGGATGTAACTCAGTGGTATAGCACTTGCCCTGCACGTACCAGGCCCTGATTCAATCCCCAGTATTGCAAAAGAGACAAAGGGAGGGAGGAACTGGGAGAAAATATCTGCAAATTACGTATCTAAAAAAAGACTTCTCTAAAAGAACTCTCAAAACTCAAGAAAACAATCCAATTAAATGCTAGGCAAAAGATTTCAACAGACACTCCACAAAGATGTACAATGATGGCAAATATGCACATGAAAAGATGCTTAAAATACGGGAAACCAATCACAAACAAAAAAGATGCTCAGCAACATTAGCCTTCAGAGAGGTACAAATGAAAGCATGAGTGTCACTGCATTACCTATTACAATGGGTAATGCTAAAATACTGGTAGGCTGGGGATATAACTCAGTGGTAGAGCACAAGGCCCTAAGTTCCATTCCAGGCACCACAAAAAAGAGTAGTAAGAAAAAAACTGGTAACACCAAATGGCATAAAGTACCTGGCTCTCTCATGAATTGCTAGTAGGAATATAAAATGGTAGAGCCACACTGGAAAAAGGTTTAATTTCTTATGAACTCAAATCAAATATATACTACACTGCATGTGATCCAAGAATACTTTTTGCCCCCTAGTCAGCTATCCTAGAGAAATGAAAACTATGCTTACACAAAAATGTGCACACAAATATTTACAGCTACTCCAAACTGGAAACAAACGTCAAAATGTGACTGGATAAGCAAACTGTGGTACTTCTACACAAAGAAAATTACTCAGCAATAAAAAGGAACAGCCTTGTAATACATGCAAAAACTTGATCAATCTACACAACATTCTTCTGAGTAAAAGAAACCAGTCTCAAAAGCTGGTGTACTATAGATCCCATTTACATGACATCCTGGAGAAGACAGACTATAGGAATGGAGATGAGAGCAGTGAGTGCCAAGAGTTACGGGTGGGGAAGTATAACTCTAAAATGATGGCATGCTGGGGAGATGACACTGCTCTGTATCCTATGATACTATATTGAATTCATAAAACTATTCACCAAAACAAAGTCAATTATGTTAATTTTTCTGAATAAAAATTTCTTAAATATTTCTAAAATATGAATCTGACTCATTATTGGCATGGCTTTTAAAAATATAAAAGAAGCAGATACAGAAGGATAAGTGTGTCTTGTTCCTTCCTATTATTGCTTATACTCTCTCTTCAACAAAATTAGAGATATGGGCAAAATAGTTTCTGCTGGGTATTGAGGAGGTGGGGGGGAGAGGGAGGGGGCGGAGTGGGTGGTAAGGGAGGGGGTGGGGGCGGGCGGGGGGGGGAGACATGACCCAAGCCTTGTATGCATATATGAAT